CATAATGCGTTCGCGGTGAGTTACTTGACCAGTTAATCGTGTACTCCTCAGTCTTCACGTGTACTCCCAGGTCGCGGCGAGGCTTTGAGCCATACGTTTTATACAACCTATGATCAAGTTGTCCAGGAAATTTTTCTTCGCGTTAAGATGTATATAACCCGTTTGGCGGGGATTTTGGTTCGTGGGGCTTTCGGGCGCAGCTGAATGGGCGACCCTGATATGACGACCAGGAGTATACCAGTCGGTTCTGACTCCCCCTGCGCAGTAGTTCCCATGAGTTGGCCAGAGATCGCGGGTGCGTTGTATGTGATTTTTGCACCAGCTCGTATGCTATGTTACTGTTTTACTGGTGATGGAAACTGCAGCGATAAAAAGAGAATGATCGAGTCCTGTATACGTAGAACGTGAAAGCTTTTTTTTTGTTTTCGCAGGGCATCCGAGGGCTTCAATGCTGTTCGCCGATTTGATTTGCTCGTTGGATAGTCTTCGTGGATTAATATGACTTAGCTCTTAAATTCTGAAAATTAGAAATACCTGTATTTTACGACGCTCGTCGATTTGGGGGAAAAAATCAATCGTTGATTTTTTTGCTGATAAAAGGCCGTTTTTTTCATGGCATGGACTTCGTCTTTGAAAGGTTAAACATTTAATTTTTTGTGGATTAAATGACGAATTATTTTTTTATTCACAAGTAGAAATTTTTTCAACGGAAAAATCATTCACTTTACTGGACGTTAAAAGTCCATTCATTGAAAAATGCTCACTCTCACTCATTGAAAAATTCTTGCTATGCAAATATTTTAATTTTCGCCATCAATTGCAGTATATTATTTGTGGAGTATGAGTGTCACTCTGTGATTCATTCAATTCGAGCTTAGTTTTGGAAGAACGCTTGTAGCGTGAAGCTGGTTTCAAAAGAAAAAGTCGTAATCCGTGCCTTGAAAAATGATTATATTTGACATAGGCTTGCTGCTTGCACATAACTTGGGTAATTCTTCCAAATTCCCCTTTGAAAATGAGCCTTCTTCTATATGAGTTCGTAGAACGTCACATATTCGTTGCTTCGAAGTGCGGAAAAGCCGTCGGAGGCACTGAATGAAGTCGTCACGTACGTGGGTAAAGAGAAACTAAAGAAAAAGGTCGATTGAATTATTACCGGTTCATTCTCATGAAATAAACCATTCTGAGTAAGACACAGCGTTACTTGGAATATACCAAATCCACAGGTTCCTGCTGTGGCTCAGATATCGACTATCTGTCTTCGCAGAAGTGAAATACTGGTGCAACAGGTTAATATTACATTTTGTCGTGATAGCATTCATTTTCATTTTTTCCGTTGGAGAGCAACGCGTGGTCACAAAATCCACTTTCATTCATTTTCTCGCGTGACGAAAACACTCTCCTGCGAACTTGAATTTAAATTTTTTTGTATCGCGGTCGAGTTTTAATTTTTAGAAGAAAGCGCGGCCAGAAAGCAGGAGGATTAAACTTGACGATAAGATTTATTTCAAGTGAAGTAAGCTTTCATGACTGAAAACAAACGTTTTTTTTTTTTTAACCACGCCGCAATTCGCCACTCACGCATTTTTACCAGGTCACACGCTCGAGTCGCGCCTCGCGGCGAAGCTGTAGTGAATTCCCCTTAACTGAGTTCAAGAATAACATGGAGGAGACATAGGAAGAAAAATATACTTGCAGTACATTTTCTGGGTCTCAGTATAGTCACTGCATTATAATTATTTTTATCTAACAAATGGAAAGGGTGAAGGTCTTCCCACGAACGTTTCGGTCACGTTGAGTATTTGAGAGACTTCTCTGAAATATTGCGGACGTTCCACGAATAACTGGGTTCGCGGCTAAGACGAAATAATTTATCAAGCATGGGATGACTCTTCTTAACCGAAAAAGAGTATTACCATCGCCGGAAGAACGAGATACAGGGATAGACACGTCACACAATTCTTTGCTGAAGAGGTTAGTATTGGCCAGTGCTTCCGAACCCGGTGGGACACTCTCCGCCTATATGCTGGCAACATGGGGGAGATAAATGAAACTCAGTTGATCCGTCCACATCCTGGTCATGCCTGATTGCTTCAGTGTTAGTGACGAAAAGAGGAGCGGACTCGATAGTACAGCTTTTGCAGCCCCCGCTGCACCCCTTGAATGTAGCCATCTCACTTCCACGATCCAGGGGTCGGATCTTCCCGGTTGGCTTCCTCTCCAGATATATATACATTTTTTTTTCTGGTGGGTTTGATGTGCAGAATTATTCGTTCCGTCCAGCTAGAAAACGAAGGTTTCCTTTCGTAGTAAAAGCTTGCTCCGTCTTCCTTTGTGCCAAGCGATTAGTTCTTTCCACGCATAAGTTATCTTTTCCTTGCAGTCGTCGTACCTTGGCTCAGTTCAGTAAATCCCATTCCCTGGACTTCGATGGTAGGTTCATTTCCCGGGACTCTTGGCAGCTGAGAGATTCATCAGCAAATGAATCTTGAGCGAGAATCTTTTTTCAACTATACCGATACTTGACCCACATACGAGCGTTAGTGTCTCCATTGACGTCCTGAGTAATAACCACCTGAGGAATGCAATATGTTGGGAAAGACCCTTCAATCTTCACTAGATTGATAATTTATGCACGTGATTCCGGGATTTTGCGTTTTTAAAGCTGTTTATTTGCATCTTGAGCCAATTTACTGCCCCAGCTGCTGAGGCGTATTCGCCCTTCTTTTTCTAATACAAGATTTGGGGACACATTGCATTCTTTCTCTAAGAATCGGATATCGTACAGAGGCATCAATAAATGTTATCCTGCGAAAATGTTGGATATCTCAGGATTTTTCTTCGGAAAACAAATCTTTTTGGCTGTTGGCCATTTTCTTACGATTGTCTCAAACGAACCGTTGCATAAAAACACGACATTCGCGGATCTGAAGCAGAAAATTATAGAAATTTGTCATCAAAATCGCGCTGAAGATTCTACCCTTTATTTATTGCTATAATGCATCAATTCTCCGGACTTTCTCCGAATACGTATGCAGAAATCCGCAGTATACCGCATGTCTAACCTTTCGTGGAGTGTTCTTTTTTCGTTGTTGCATAAATTAGATTTCAGACTTTTCGAAGAGTGGAATAATCATAAAATCTCTTGGAAACAATGGTATGCACCCAGAACAACTTCTGTCACGAATAAGTGAATAGTTCCTTAAGCTCAATTTCGACGGAATGGAAGCCCGCAAATTTGAAAGAATCAATATCAATTGATTGTCGTAGATAATTGAATTTCCGAAATTTTTTTATACAGTACAGGAAAGTGATGCATTTCCAAACTTGAAATTATGTTGAAATTATAATTGTGTCGAAAATGTTATCGTATTCCAAGGGTAATTGGCCAGGATATCTCCTTCAAAAATGTCTGAAACTCGGAGCAACCGATGTTCAAGATATTCCAATAGAGGAAACTCGCAATAGAGTGTTTTCGAGTGGTAAACATTTAAATGTTCGGAAAACGGTTTCACAGCAATCAACGCAATCAATTTGCACATAATTGTTCGCCGAAATCCTCCCATATTCTTCGGAAACCTGGCAGGCGGATGTGTCGATGTGTAAGCGACATAGCTGCATCTTCAGTCAATATTTTTCCACTTGACTAAAAAACCGTTTTTCCTGTCGAATGGCTTCCCAAATTTGGCGCGTGCTCTATTTTCGCATTCGGTCAATAATCGGGAAAAAACGTGGTAAGCTCACTAACAAACTCCAGCCGAAAATCTCAGCAACACTTTTCGAATTTTTGAGTTTATGCTGTCTTGGTATATATCTATGTAATACTTTTCGATCCGTAGAAATTATAGGTTCCATGATGGGGGAAGAAGTCATGTATCGTACGATAAAAAAAAAGCAGTACTGTACTTCAATAGAGCTCAGTCGCAATCTTCGTCGCAACTTCGCAGCTTTACTATTCCAGTCCTAACACTTTCACGAGGAAATGGAACGTGAATAAGAAGCATTCTTGCAGTCCGTTGGGACCTAATTAGGAGGAAGGCGACTGGCTAATTAGTCGTTGAGGGAATGAATGGTTCCGGAGAACATCCTGGATCAATGTGCGCGTCAAATGGGAAACGTAGTCTAAAGGGCCTTGCTTCCGATTCACCTGATGTCACCCGGAGCGAGGATCGAAAATCGATCGAAATCTCTCGAATTAACTCGAAGGGCACTTTTTGAGGCAAGTTACTTTTAGCAATGATGAAATCGTGCATTGAGATCATAAATTACAATGCCTTGAATCTTGGCCGCATTTATAGCCACTTTTCGCAGATGCGTGAACGCTTTTTACGTCATCATAAACATATTTACCCATGTACAAGCGATCCTTTTTTTTTTCGTAAAAGAGGGCACGAAAACTCGTGTGCGGCCTACATACGGTAAACGTACTCGATAAATTCGAAGATAGGCCACTGTGATAAGTAAGAACGGGATATACTGTACTTCCTATCAAGACAGGAGAAAATCAAGCAGGCTCCGATCCTGCCTCAGGAAAAGGATCGAAGAGATTGTTTCATTGTGATTTCGGGGTTTTTTGTTCGGTTATAAGTATGGTACCCGCATTGCACACATACTTTATTTTTGTTACCAAATCCAGGGTGTATTTTTATCTAGGGCATCTAGGACAATTCACAGTCCAAATTCGATAACATTTTCATGTGTGCTATGGCCATATATTCCGCTCGGAATGTATTTACTTCTGAGGCCAACGCCTTTCCTTCGTTCAAAGAACGGCCCGAAATTAAAGTGCGGCGTACGATCGCGGAAATGAGAAATTTGTCATGCCTACTGAAAATGTATTTGCTGAAAGATATGTTGAACGCCTGTAGAAGACCTTTAAAGCATTTTTGGGGGCTTGAGGTGGAAAAGCTTTGTAACTAGATTGGTTCACTGCGGTGTATGTGCGCGCTCTGGTCCCATGCTTTTCTGCTGATTTGAGCCTTGATTTTTTTTTAACGCACAGTCGAAGCCTTTCAACAACAGGCATGTCCTTCGCGACCAACTGAATTTCGGGTGAGGAACGTACCCCACGGTGTTTCCTTGTGCTGTGAGAAAACATCCGGACGAGCTTTACCTGTCCGAAGCGGCGACGAAAGCAAGGCATTCCTATTGTGCAGATTCTACGGAGGAATCGACAAGGTGCTGCGCATCGTCGACGCCGAAATCCAGCTCATCGGTGACCCGACGACTTTGATCTCTTGGCCAACCCCGGGAATGGGATCCTCTCATAACGACCCCAGCTTCAGAGAACTCGCCCATCCGAACTTCAGCGAATTTCTGAAACTGCAGAACAATGCGTCTTTCAAACTCATTAAAACCGGTGAGTCCATTGCTTACCTTTCCAGAGCCCCGTTGCTGTTCTTTCATTGTATCCCGTGGGATTTTGCACCTGACTTCGTCCGCGATTCCCTGCAACGACTCATCCGCTCCCTGACGACTCCCTTGCGCCGCACTGATGAGGCGTTCTCATGAGGATAAAACTTTCTCCGTGACGTTGCGTGCGAAGGAAGCACAAACCTTCCTTTCTCGTCATTTGATTAACTCTGATTCTCCATGAAACCCTGCCGACCTTTAATCACGAAACCCTTAACGAGCCGTTTTCATTTTTCATCCACGGTCAAGCGACGTTGGTTCATTCAGTTTAAAAACAGCAATAAAACTCAATTCCAGCGACCATATATCGTACAGGCAGCCGAACCTAAGACGAATTCGAAAAGATTTCTTCGTAGATCTTTGAAAAATTGGGGAAATGTTAAAATTCCATAATTTTTCCGCGAGGAAGCTTGACGACTCGCTCTCTGAATTTCTATATAACGACGTATGTTTTATTCTTCAAACTTCAATCATATTTTTTTGCTTCTTCTATTTTCTTGACCACTTTATCTGGTTTCTGTAAAAGTGCCGAAGAAAAATCGCACGAGCATGTCCCTTGACAAATTTCTGTGCTTTATTTACTCAACATTTAATGCGTCGATTCTCAGTATTATTGCGAACGACCAACTGATGACGAACAAAAAATTAAATCAGGAAAAAACAGGGAATGAAAATGTATTGGACGTTCTTTCACGGATTGATTTTTAAAGTGAGGGATTCTGAGACTAACTTCCATGTGAGACGAAATATACGAGTGGTATATTTAACCCAGAGCACCTTTCTCACGTGGAACCGCTTCTGGAACTATCCTCGTGGATCAAATTTGAACGCGCTTGTCAATATAATCCGAGTATACCGTATGACATTCCCTCATCCTTTGACAAAGATCAGATCGTCGCACATATTTTGACTCGCAGAGCTGATCACTTCCGCAGGCGAAAAATTAATTTCAGTAATCGCATCAGACGAGGGATTCAGTTGACAAGACCTCTATTTTCTACGACGATGCAACGTCGCACCAATTTTTCATCCTATTATTTGCATGTACCTACTATGCGGATTAAATCACAGCGAGGGGGCGAAGGGAAAAACGTTCTCAAAGCGTGCATGAGAAAGATTTGTAGATTCCGATCCCGAGGGAAGGCGAAATCCTGGAATTTCGTAAGAAAAAGCGAGCATGACAGGGCACGAGCGCATAGCTTCCAGGGTATTCATCAGGTTTGCTTCTGATGGCTCAACTCCTCGTGATCCTCCGTCCGTAACCTGTTGAGTCCGCTTGCGTCGGTTGCTTTAGCTTTTCTCCCATGTGTCGGAAAAATAAGCCTCGGAGGAGCTAAAAACAAGCATTCCAGTTTTTTTCTTCATTCCCGGAGTAGGATCCATGCATGCTGTCTTCCGTCCGCCCAAGTTCGCGAACTATTAAATGTGTTGCAATACATTCAGCAGGACTCCTGAGCCGAGACGACAACCTCGCATTTCCATGGAAAGCGAAACAGATTTTTTTTAATATTTAATCACTTGGCACGCTGACCCCAGTCAGAGGCATATGCTTTATTGTCGCTGCTTCGGATATAAGTTTATGGAGTGCCGCCTCGTGTACGTGGGGGCTTTTAGAGTGTGTTCTCTCGTTCGAATGGAGAGACGGACGCGAAGCTTCGGGTTTACATGAGCTTTCACGGGAGTCCATTCAGCTTCATTATTTGGGGGCCACGAGATACATGTTCTCTGGGGCTCAGGTGAATAGCTATGCTCAGAAAAGATACGGACGGAGATCCCCACCTTCGCTGTTGTACCCGGACACATATCCTCACGTGTGCGTCTCGGGTCGCGAAGACAAGCCCGGCAGGGCTGCGTCCACAAGCGCCGTATCCTTGGGTTCTCTAGGAAATTAGTTGCCAGGTTGAAGTGACCCGGCCCGAACAAGGATGAGACTCCAACAGCGACATTTATCACCGTCAGGATTGATGAACGTAATTCAGAAGTGCCGATGTGGCTCGTGCCCGGCATTACACTTACGAGGGTCTTCACAATAATTCTACCTCCCCGATGTGCGCTTCATATCCACATGAATTGATGCTATTTCTTAAATGTGCGAGTAATGCAAGTGGGCTCTCGTACGACGATTTTGTCATCAGCGCTTTCTACGGGCTATTATTTTTCTATTCTGAGGGAACATGCTCTCCTTGTACAGTACATGTAGCTCATCTACAATGATGTTGACCGCATAACATATTATTCTGTGCGTTCACAAAGTATCATTACGGATTAATTTCGTCAGGAACCCATTCAGAGATGCGAAATACCCACGAGTTGTTGCATTATAAGAATGATTTGGAAAGGACATGCTTTCTTTCCGACGTAATGATCAAGAACTTTTTATAATTTATGTCACATTCTGCGCCGAGCAAGCCTCAGATATCTAATTTGTTAGAAGAAGAATGTTTCTGATGTTAAAAACTCGTTGATGAGAAATTGCGCGTAGACAAAAAGAACATGTTTCTGTCGGCGCGGTGATCTGAAAAAGTCGACCAGGAACCAGCAGAGCATTTTCAAGTAAAGATTTCCTGGAATATAAGACATTCGTATTATATTATGCTGAATAATCTCTCATTTAATTTCAAACCTAAATCGTCGCTGATGTTTCAAAATTTCATCACTTATTAGGCAAACGCGAATAACATTGTTGAAGACCATTTGAAACAATTAGCGCATCAACATTCTCCATATAATTCCCTGAACAGTACTTAGTCTTTGTATTTTACAGCAATAGTAAAGATCAACAATAGAATTTTCGAACTGCTTTTACAGAATCATCACTCAATGCCAACAAAGAAAGTCAATTTCCCAATACTTGACGTGATTCTTGGTGCAATCCCCGAGCCGCTAAAAGATTTACTGCTGATATTCAGGAGCATTTTCTTGGATTAGCCCCAGTCTGATAATTTTTTTAGGCGGAAAAGATGCCATACATCAAGTCTCGGTTTTACGGACATCTTTTTCACAGCTAGCTCGTTATAACTCAATTTTCACCAGAGCATAATACTCTGAGCATAAATAACAATTTTTGCAGGAGATTTCGACGGTATTCAAAATTCCTCAAATAAAAAAATCCGGAGCATTCCTCACAGCCGCAGAAGTCCATCACAAAAAAGTAATTTTTTAAAGATAATGTGAGACAACTTTTACAAAAATATTATTAAAAGCAATATTCTGCTCGTAACTGACAATATTATCCAAAAGATAACAGAGAGTGGATAAGTGGAGGATATATGTCGTAAAGACTTCAGAAAATTGTATTGACCTGGTTTTCAGAGAAATTCGATGATTAAATTTCCGTGACTTCGTCCGAAACTTGTAATGCTCAAGAACAAAAACGATGAAAAGTGTTTCAGTTGGGTCTAAATTATTGCTGAATGTCAATCCTTGACATTTAGCAATACTGTATACGGCAATTTTCGTTCACTTTGCACACATATACGAGTCTTTAATATTCGATATAAAACATTGAAAATTCCAGGAGGAAGTGAGTCGAAGAAATCAGAACGTTTCAGAAATGTCGAATTTTGCACATACAGTATTTATTTCGAGGGTTCGCTTTGATCTCATTTGGCTGTAGAGAAAAATACTGTACATCTATGCCTTCGAAGGACAGACGGGTTGAATAAAATGCCGCGCAGTGTGAGGAAGCTTTTTTTGGTCAGCTGATATTATCTTGAGAGAAATCAGATCAATCAACGACATGCAGCATTATTTTGTGATTATCCTAATTGTAAATTAAGTTTCTCGTACAGGTGTAATTAAAATAAAAGAATGCCAAGATTTTGATACCTGTAGCATGTTTTTTTTCATTCACATGGATTAATAAAAGTTAGTTTTCCTTTCTCAAAAACACTCTCAATAAAAGCGTATATTGTTACTGTATTGCTCTGGTTCCAGGATGTCACTGGAAATTTTCAGTTTTGAAAAATCAAGCGGCAGTAATGCATACATCTGAATAAGTTGATACGTATGTCAGATGTGAAGAGCTGAAGGATAGCGCAGGTACTTCGCCGAAAAATGGGAAGAATCGAAAACTGATTCAGAATTTATAACTTTTCAGAAGGCATTTCACGCATTTCATTCATATGATTTAGGCTATGTACGAGTTTTCTTTTGCTAAGTACATATCGACATTTTGGCTTTCTCCAGATACGAATACTGTACTGCAGCAAGTACAGTATTAAATTACAACACGCAAAGCTGCCATTGAGCAGTAAAGAAACCGTTTAAAAAAATTTTGAAGATAGATCTAGACCAGGAAGGAAATTTTTTGCATCACCTCACAAATGCACGGAAAGCAGGTACAGCATAATACTGGAAATTTTTGCACAAGCACTCGCATTGTTAATGCCGAAAGGCACAAGGCCAGTGAAACTTCAATATTTGGATGAATTATTATAAAGAAAAATGGTTTTGAGAAATCATCCGAAAGATATTACGGTACTATGTTCCTAAAAACGATGCAAGAACATTTTTGATGAATTGAATCATGCAATATTTGGGTGTGGAAATGTATTTCTCGTTGTAAAATAGCTGCGTCGAATGCATCTCAATTGGAAGTAATCGGGATGATTGAATACATTAATTCTGCATCGATCAATTTTTTTTAGCCCAACTCGTGTAAGAACTTTTATGCAAACAGTAGAGAAAGGTAAAATATTTCTACCCCCTCCAGAAGCCATAATATAAGGTGCGTGATGGTTGAGAGCTATCTGAAGAAGGAAATCCGCCAGCACGCGATGGGATAGTCCTGTGATATATTACTCGGAATAAATTTACAAAAATCTGTAAAATAATTTGATTCATACCGCCTTTGAATACTTCCTGACAAACATCACGAGAATGGGACTTTCGTTCATCCAAACCTGTGATGCAAAGCCCGAATTGATCTTGGACTCATTCTCGTAC